GTGGAAGGGGATAGATAGATAGATAGATAGAGTGGGTGGATGGGGATAGATAGATAGATAGATAGATAGATAGAGGGGGTGGATGGGGATAGATAGATAGATAGATAGATAGATAGAGGGGGTGGATGGGGATAGATAGATAGATAGATAGATAGATAGATAGATAGATGAGAAGGTTGTGTGGGGATAGATAGATAGATAGATAGATAGATAGATAGATGGGGTGGATGGGGATAGATAGATAGAGGGGGTGGAAGGGGATGGATAGATAGATGGGGTGAATGGGGATAGATAGATAGATAGATAGATAGATAGATAGATAGATAGATAGATAGATAGATAGATAGATGAGAGGGGTAGATGGGGATACAGAGATAGAGGGAATGGATGGGGATGGATAGATGGGTGGGTGGGGGTGTGGGGATAGACAGATAGATGAGAGGGGTGGATGGGGATAGATAGAGGCGGGGGATGGGGATGGAGAGGTGGGTGGGTGAGGTGTGGGGGTAGATAGATTACATGGGAGGGGTGTATAGGGCCAGACAGACAGACAGTCCATTAGTCTCCGTGTAATTTACCCTTAGGCCCAGAACCTCAGGGGTGTTTAGGCCCCGAGCCCCCGTTGATGTCACTGACTCCAGGGGAGCTCGCTGGCTGCCCACCACAGGGGCATGGAGCCAGAGGGCAGGTTCCCAACGTGCCAGTGGGAGTTGGGGGCTCCAGGGCACACGTGAGACAGGGTCAGTTCGAGGGCGCGGCCTCCTAGGCCGGGGTGGGGAACCTTTTTTCTATCAGGGGCCACTGACCCACATAAAAAAATCAATCGCTGGCCACACACAGCCCCATGGAGGCGGGGGGGGGGGGCGCACAGAGGGCTCGGGGCTTTCTGTAGGGTTGCCAACTTTCTAATGGTACAAACCTGAACATCCTGGCCCCACCCCTTCCCTGAGGCCCTGCCCCCCCTCCCTCCAGCCCCCCTCCCTCCCTGACTCACTCTCCCCCGCCCTCACTCACTTCCACCGGGCTGGGGCAGGGGGCTGGGATCTGGGAGGGGGTGAGGGCTCCAGCCGGGGCTGCGGGCTCTGCAGTGGGGCCAGAAATGAGGGGTTCAGAGTGCGGGAGGGGGATCAGGGGTTGGGGGGTGCGGGCTCCGGGAGGGAGTTAGGGTGCAGAAGGGGGGTCCGACCTGGGGCCGGGTAGGGATTTGGGGTGCGGGCTCCAGCCAGGTGGCGCTTACCTCCGGCAGCTCCCAGTTGACGGCGCAGCGGGGCTAAGGCAGGCTCCCTGCCCTGCCTCCGCACTGCTCCCGGAAGCAGCCGCTGTGTCCAGTCCTTAAGCGGAGGTACCACCCCTGCAGCTCCCATTGGCCCCAGTTCCCAGACAATGGGAGCTGTGGAGCCGGCGTGCGAGGTGGGGGCAACATACGGAGCTTCTCTGATCACCCCTGTGCCTAGGGGCCGCAGGGACATGCCGGCCACTTCCGGGAGCCACGCGGAGCCGACCGGACTTTTAACGGGCTGGCAACTCTAGTTTTCCCCCGCAGTGGGGCAAGCTCGCACTTGTGTCTGCAGCCCCACTTGGGGGGAAAAGGGCGGGGCCAGGCTCAGGGCTTCCGGCCCACGGCATGGAGACTTGCCGCAAGCCAGATGAAATTAAGCGGAGGGCGGGATCAGTTTCCGCATTGAGCATTGGCCTGCTAAACCCAGGGTTGTGAGTTCAATCCTTGAGGGGGCCATTTAGGGATCTGGGGCAAAATCAGTACTTGGTCCTGCTAATGAAGGCAGGGGGCTGGACTCGATGACCTTCAAGGTCCCTTCCAGTTCTAGGAGATGGGATATCTCCATTAAAATCCCTGTCCTAAGCCCTACAGTAACACAAACACTAATAATACTGATTTTGAAACTGAGGCTTCTAAACCCCCTAGGCCGATCTGCCACTGTAGCCTGGACACCTCAGCATTTGGGGCAGTTTGCTGGGGGGGGTGGCGGATTCCCATAGGGTGGCGCGATTCCCATAGGGTGGCCCATGACTGTCCTTGGCACAGATCTTTCTGCTGCCCAGACCCCGGCCAAGATCAGGGCCCCGTGGCGCCCGGTGCTGCCCAGACCCCGGCCAAGTTCAGGGCCCTGTCGTGCCGGGCACTGCCCAGACCCCAACCAACAGTGCTCCATAGTGAGAGATCGGCCATGCCCTGCAGAGCCCACACGCTAAACAGACAAGACAAAGAGCGGAAGGGAACCAGTTGCACTGACCGGAGAAGCTACATGCCCAAGGTCACCCAGCAAGACAATGCCAGGGCCAGGGAGAGAACCCAGGAGTTCTGGCTCCCAGCCCCCCTGCTCTAACCCATTAGTCCCCACTCCCCTCCCAGAGCTGGGGAGAGAACCCAGGAGTTCTGGCTCCCAGCCCCTCTGCTCTAACCCATTAGTCCCCACTCCCCTCCCAGAGCTGGGGAGAGAACCCAGGAGTCCTGGTTCCCAGCTCCCACTGCTCTAACCCACCAGCCCCCACTCCCCTGCCAGAGCT